GGTGCCTCGTCCGAGACACTTCCCAGACACCTCCTAGAGACTTCCTGCTCTACGAGTGGGTCAAGCGGTGCCTCGTCCGAGACACTTCCCAGACACCTCCTAGAGACTTCCTGCTCTACGAGTGGGTCAAGCGCTCTCTTGTCTCCGAGAGCAGCACCCGCACCCCAACGCTCACTCACCGTCTCGTCTCATGGAGCCGTCCGCCGCCACAGGTCCCTCCCCGAGAGCCGCACCCGCATCTCGAAGCTCAAAGGGCCGCGAGCAGCCGAGGCCCTCGCCTCCTGCTCGCAGCCTCCGCCGTGCAGGCCTCTGTCGTCTCTTGACCGCCTTCTGCGTTCACAGGCGCTCGCCTCCTTCCTGCAGCCCGCGTGGGCAAAGGCGACCGCCGGCAGAAGGCGCGCCGCCGCGCTCGAGCGGGGCCGGGGCACGGAGCTGCCTCGCGCGGTCATCTTCTCGTCGCGGCCGATCGCCGACTCGATCTTCGCGCGCCACCTGGCGACGCGCCTCTCGCCGCTGCTCTCCCTCTCGTCGATGCACGTCGACGGAGGCCTCTCCTCCTCGCCGGAGGCAAGCCCCGAGGCGCGCCCCCCTCCCCCCCCCCACCCCCTCGGGCCCCGCCGGCCCCGCCCCGCCACCCAAACTCCCTTGCCTCCCCCCTCGCTTTGCACGCGCCCGCTGATCGGCGAACCTCGGCGAAGCTCGGCGAAGCTCGGCGAAGCTGTACGCAGGCGCGCCTCGCACACTCGCTCGGGCTGCGCTCGCTGCCGGTGGTCGCCTTGTGGACGGAGCCAGAGGAGGAGGGCTCTCCGCTCGACAAGGGCCGCGCCACCCCCGCACGATCCCCGCGCGATCCCCGCCATCCGACCTCACACACACACACACCCGCCCTGCCCCGCATCCCCCTCCCCTCCCCTCCCTCTCCCTCGCGACTGCAGCTCCTCCCTGGCCCGCCCCCGGCCCCATCCCCGCGCCTCCCTGCAGGCCGCTCCCCGCCCCTCCTCCTCGAAATCTCCGAGCGGCCAGACGCGGCGGCGCGCGAGGACTTCGTCGCCCGCCTCCGCGCCGCCGCCGCGCCCGCCGTCCCCCTCCTCTCGGCCGCAAACTTCGGCGCGCGGTGCGGCGCGGCGGGGGCGGCGGGCGGGGAGCAGCCTTTCTGCGTCTTGCTTTTCGTGCCGCGCGGCGGCGACGGCGGCTGGCCGTCCTCGGCGGTGGGCGCGCTCGCGGCGCTCCGCTCCCTGTGGCGCAAGTCGCAGCACGGCGGAGGCAGCTCCCTGTTCTCGAGCGGGCGCGTGCGGCTTGGGTGGGTGGACGCTTCGCGGCAGGAGCACGCGCCCGTCCGAGAACAGGGAGCTGCCTCCGCCGTGCTGCGACTTGCGCCACAGGGAGCGGAGCGCCGCGAG